TTACAACTCATTGTATGGTTTACAGCCATATGGTCATCCTTACCTGCAGGAAACCTGGGAAACATATTTTTAGCTGGGCTCATTGCTGCCCCCAACAAATCAAAAAGAAGTGAATGGATCTTGGCTAGGCAACTGGTGGTCTCTTGCAGAGGACCCAGGCATTTCATGTTTAAAATACTCTATTTTTATTGTGGTAATATATACATAAAATAAACATTACTATTCTAACTATTTTTAAGTGTAGAGTACACTGACATTAAGCACATTCACACTGTCAGCACTATCCATTTCTATAACTTTCATCCCAAATAGTAACACTGTATCCATTAAATAGTGATGTCTCATTTTCCTTCCCCTCAGATACTAGTGATTTCTATTCTACTTCCTGTTCCCATGAATTTAGTATCTCATATAAGTGAAATCATACAGCATTTGTCCCTTGCTATTTAGCTTATTTCACTCAGTATGTATCAAAACTTCATTCCTTTTTATGGCTGAATTACCTTCCATTGTGTGGATAGACCACATGTTGGTTATTCATCTGTTGCTGGACATTTAGGTTGTTTCCAGCTCTTGGCAATTGTGCATATGCTGCTAGGAATATTGGTGTACAAGTCCTGTTTTCAGTTCTTTGGGGTATACACTGAATCATGGTAATTCTGTTTAACTTTTGTGTACTTTCCAAATGCGTGTTCCATTTTATATTTTATTCAGTATTCACTGACTTGGAATTGGTGAAACCAAACATTGAACCTCTGATCTAGAGGGGCTACCCTCTCTGGATCCTAGAGATTCCCACAGATGGTGGTGCTGCCCCCACTGTACCCATTAGGGGATTCTGGTATGATAGATGCTGATGTGAGCTTGATGGAATTATCCTCATCTTAGAAATTAGGAAAAAATGGAAGAGGATAGACCCCATTCTCAGTGGTAATCAGAGCTCCGCTGATGACAGTCCTAGCTCTGCCCTTAGGAAGGCTTCTCACACAATTGTGGACAGCCTCATTGGTCTACACTGGGTTCCTTTGGCCGGTCTGGACTTGTAAAGACTACACCAAGAGGTTCCAGGAAGGAGCTATTTCTATCCTCATGCTCACTCTCAAACCAGCCTGTCACCACTTTATAAGTAAAGAGAAGATGAACTTAGTGTATTCCATGACTTTGTGGTAGTTCAAAGCGAGTGTTGCACTATGGTGAAGAACATGGTCCACCAAGCCAGGTGGATTGATTTCAATCCCAACTCTGCTATCTATTTGTTGTTTGACCTTTACTGAAATTATTTAACTTCTCTGTGCCTCAGTTTCCTCATGATTCTTTGACTAACTTTACATGATTGTAGTGAGAAGCCCCTGAATTAACCTGGGTAATCAAGTGCTTCAGAAGGGTGCCTGCACTCTGGAAGTGCTCTCTGTGTGGTGTGTGTGTGTGTGGGGGCAGTGTTAGTAGTATACATGTTAGTAGTTACAACTATACCCAGTGGATTTAAATTCCTACACTGTTAACACTTAATAGCAGATGAACTATGGACTGCCACGGTAACTATGGAAATTAAAAGCAAAGCAAAACAAAAAGGGCTGGGGATATGGCTCAGTGGACAGACACAGCCAGATGGAATGAGAATGCACTGGTCTTTGTCTTTCGACCAACATCATAGGGCTGGAAAATGCTAACCACTTGGCCTCTTCTTCTTGCAAATTGCAGCTCATTTCTTCCAAGTTTATTGCATCACTGTGAGGATTTACAGAGGCAAAGGTCAGGCATGATAAACTTTATCACTAAGCAAATATCAAGACACAGTAAACCAAAGCAGCCTGTCAGCTCTGGTTTGCTGTTTATGGCCAGGTCTGGGTTCTGAAACTGGGGAAGCTGGAGTAAAACATGGAGAAGGTTCAGAGGCCAAGACATGGGAAAGAGCTGGAATTCTTGGGTAATGTACTTTAATCAGATACTGGCCATTGAAAATGGGTGTGGAATGGAGCACCTCAGCCTCTGAGGAATTGGGTTAATTTTCATACAGCGTGGAATTTAAAGTACTGGAAAGGTTTCCTGCAACTGGTGAAATTCAAGGACTTCGCTATGATTATCCAACTGTCATAGAGAAATGGAAGCTACACCAATAGCTGGGGGGTTGTAGCAAAGACGGAAGGGTGAAGCCCAGGCTCCAGCCTCAAAAACCCAGGTTTAGATCTTCAGGGTGGAGCCAGGCATTTATTTTGCGGTCACCTAGCGCCACCTATGGCTCAGTATGTTTAACTGCAACCACAAGAGAGGAGGCTGGGATAGCTTCAGACACCACGTTGCGATTTGATTTTGATTTGAAAAACTAGTCAAACCTCCCTTTTGCCCATTAAAGCTGTTTTTGTAGTTTTGGTGTTTGGCTTTGTCTCAGCCGCAGCATTGTTTGTGAAGATCAATAATCCTTTCTGGGGCGCGGTCGGGGAGAGGGGATTTTGCCTTGAGATACAGACGCGTCATGAGGAAGGACCCGGGTGCCTGGATTCCGTTTGTCAGTGTATTTTTAATAGCCAGGAAATTCTTCCCTCGACATTAAGTGACCAAGACGTCATTTTAAAACAATTCTGGGAGACTTGCATTTTCCCACAGTTTACTGGAAAAGGAAATTATAAATCAGAGTGATTTCTGCTTCAGATTGTCCCACATTTTTTTTTTTTCTCCTTCGTTTTTCTTTTACCCCTTGGTGCTGGGGATGAACCTAGGAATTCATGGATGCTCCAGATGTGTCATTCTTAGCACCACCTGGGGTAGGGAGAGACACTGGGACCAAGGGAACCTGGGAGTTCTGTGAAGGGCAGAAGAGGCAGGTGGGAAGTAGACATCAGGACTCAAGGAAGACTTTGGAGGGGACAAGGTGGGTTCTGGGTTCTGTGTTTTAAAAGAAATAAGTGCCTTCCAAGGCGGGGATGGCCTGGTTGTGAAGACGACTTGCCCTCAACCTCTGTGTCTGTGGTTCATGCAGAAAGGATAGTCGTTTCTCATAAGGCTGATTCAAACAAAGCTACTTTCCTTTGGATATCTGTGTCAAGGTCACCTGCATGCTTCAGTTTCTGGCTTCCTCTTCTCTCTGGTGCAGCCACATTGGTCTCTTGAGTTTCTGAAAAGCGCCATGCTGTTCCTCACGAGGGGCCTTTGTGTTTGCCTTGTGCCTGAAACACTCCTCACGCTGGATCCCTTAGATCTCAGCATAAAGCTCACTCACTCAAGGAGGCCTTGTCTGATCCCTGTCACCAGGCCAGATCTCCTGGTGTCACGTTCACACTTCCTTGGAACTTTCATCACATGTGGGGCGTTGGGATCATAGAATTGTGGAACATCATCTCATCCCATGAGATGTGGTCATCAAGACCAGCATCTGCCTTCTCTCTCTTGTGGGTATGGGGCCACCCTTAGATTAGATTTAGCTAATCTAAAGGTGACCGAATGCGCCCAATCATCAACTCTTGATAGGATGAGGGGATGACATACTATGGGTGCTGTTTTTCCAACACAGCGATTCAGAGGGCCCCTGTGTCATGGTTCCACCCTGGTTGCATGGGAGAGAATAGTCAACACTCTGGATGAAGCTGTCTTTCCTCCTGCCCCCAAGTAGGATGGTGACTGTGCAGAGGCCTCTGTTGGAGCATAACAAGACTACAAACTCAGGAAGTTGGGGAGGGATTTTTTTCTCCCCCCACTAACAGAGAAAACCTGCTTCCCAGATTGCAGGGAAGAGTTGGAAAGATTAATTATGCCTGTCATGCAACCCTTTAGAAATTTCTCTTTTTTTTTTCTTAATTTATAGGCAAGAACTGGGAAAGGCATTCTTCATTGGGCTGCAGTATTTGCAGCAAGTTGTAGAGATGAATCTAGGAAAGATGAATCTTGGAAAGATGGGTCCAGAAAAGATTCTTTGTAGCAGGATCAGAGTCTGTAGCTTGGTAGCTGAGCTGTCAGGGGGCACCCTGCTCAGCAGTGTCAAGATGATCCTGGAAAACTTCACAGAATTTTGCAAAAACACTTGCTTCACATATCCCAGGGCCATGTGAATGTCCTGTCAGCATTGTTTGAAGTTTATGAGATGATTTTTATGTTTTATGGTTGCCAGCAGAAAGCATCTGGTTTTGCAAAGCTGGGACAATATGGCATTTACATGGTCAAATGTGAGATGTGAGAATGACTGAGGGAACCCCTAGGTCTTGATGGTTGTACCATAGTCATGGTGGTTTTTCTAAGGGTTGAGATCTAGAAATAAGAAGACATCCCGAACCCCGCTTAAGTTTTAGAAAACTAACTTCAGGGAGAGTTGTTCATGCTATATCCACAGAATTGGCTGAAATTTTGAATTCAGTCTGTTTGACACTTCAGTCCTTATTTTGACAAGAGAAATTCCCTAGTGTTGGCATTTAGGAATGTGTACTGTGTTTTTACTGACCACATAAATATCATGGCTCCCTTGAGGAAAAACCTTCCCCTGTGAGGCAGAAGGTAATATTCTAAAGTCCTGCCTTGCTCATAACTCAAGATCTGGTTCCTCAGAATATTGTTCCTAAAGTGCTATCTCTGGGAGGCTGCCTAAGGCAGCAGAGAAGAACTGGCCTGAAATGAGAGTCAGGGGTCCACTTCTGGCCTCACCGCTCTGTAGGCGCATACAAGGATAAGTGTGTCTTCTCCCATTTGGAGCCCACCTTCCTCCGTGTAAGATGACGAAGCTGATGTTCCCTTTACCACTAATGTCCCACAATCTAGGATCTATGAACTGGAGGTAGCAGTGCAGCTTGGTGCTAGAAAACAAAGCCTCTGTCCTGTTATGGGCTGAATTGTGTTCCTCCAAAATCGGTGCATTAAAACCCTACGCTCCAGTGCATTTGTATTTATAGATGAGGTCTTCAGGGAGGTAGTCAAGGTTAAATGAGGAGTGGAGTTAAGTGTGGAACCCTGTTCCAGCAGGACTGGTGGTCTTATAAGAAGAGGAACAGCAGAAATCTCTCTCTCCCTTTCTCCAGGAGTTCCCAGAGGGAAGGCCTTGCAGTGACACAGTAAGGTGGCTGTCTTCAATTGGAGAGAGAATCTTCACCCGACAACCAGATCAAGCCTGTTGATCTTGGACTTCCAATCTCCAGAACTGTGGGAAAGTTCAGTTCTGTTGTTCAGGCCCCAGCTCGTGGTACTCAATGAGGCAGTCTGAGCAGGCTGATGTGCCTCCGCATCCCTTTGGGGCTAGACTGATTTATTGGTCTGTGGCCTCGGTGGGAGTTTGTATTTAACTTTTTCCATTGGCAAAGTAACAGCAAAATAAATTGGACTCTGGAAAAGAAGACACTCCAGTGCTTTGGAATTTATAGGGCCATGTCGATCAGGGCCACAGTGAACAGGTCTTTCCCAAGGTAGTAGAGTCATTAATATCTCTGGGGTGTTTTCTCTGACACCAGGGGGGGTGTCTGACAATGTAGTTCAATTCTTACGCCATTGACTTTGAGCTATAAGAATCCCTAAGTTAAAGAGCTCAGTTGCATAAGACTTCCTCTATCTCAGATGCCAGTTACAAGTCCCAGGCCACCCATATTTCTGACTGACTGCCTGTAAATCACGAATTCTCATGACCCTTTCCTTAGGTTTAGTAATATGCTGGAATGGCTCACAGAACTCTTATGTTAACTTGATAAAAGGATCCAAGTGGGAATGGCCAGATGGAAGAAATGCATAGGGCAAGGTACAGGGCATGTGTGGCATGGGCCTTCCATGCCTTTTGCAGGAATACCTCCCCGTAGCACCTCGATTTGTTCACCAACTGGAAAGCTCTCCAAACCTTCTTGCTCTAGAATTTGTGTAATCCCATTCCTACTCCTCTGCCCCTACCCTAGAAGTTGTTGGGTGAAGCTAAAATTTCCAACTCTCTAATTTCTTAATTTTTCTGGTAACCAGCTCCTTCCTGGTGATATCTAGAAATCCTATCCTTAGTCACCTCCTAGTAAAAAAATCAAGTTTACGGGAAGGAACTCATTACCTATAACAGAAGACATTCTTATCACTCAGAAAAAATCATGTGTTCAGGTATTCTATGCCAGGAACTGGGGAAAAGACTAAGTAAATGTCTTATTATAGCTTAATATCCAACTGGATCATGCCCAGTCTTGGATGATCCTCTTGTACTGGTGTGGAGGAGCCTGTAGAGCTACCCTCTGAGCAAAAATTGGGCTTGAAAACCTTGAAATGATGTTGTTATTGACTAAAGAATTTTTCTGGGACTTCTGATGAAATAGCTTGATTGTGGGGCACTGGGTAGATTGGGCAGATGTGGAGCAAGTGGACTATAGATTACCGTGTTTCAGAAGGGAGGTCTATTCTGTCACCCCAAAGACCTAGATCACAGGACAAAGAATGTGGAGATGGGATAGCTGAGTGGCCTTGGCTTCTCTTCCCTTGAGAGTTCTCAGCACTGCTTGGACAGCAAATGACCTCTCAAAACCGACCTATTCAAGGAGCAAGGTGGGTACTGAAGTACCAGAATAACAGTACATGTTACTCAAGTCAGAGGACTTGATATAAACCCTGAGCTTTCTGTGAGCCCATAGTAGATCCTGTCCGGAACTTTTTGGTGGGAAAAAGATATTGATATTGCATAGTGGGGTGGAGAATGCAGGGTCCAGGGACAGCTGTAGCTTCCTGTGAATGCGTTGAGCTTGACCCTGCTGGGAGGGTCATGCATGTGCCAGGCTGACCCCATACCAAGGCAGTGTACTTCAAGACCTGCAGTCAAGTCTTATTCACTCCCATTCATGTCTAATTTGGAAAGAGACCACATTGAACTTTAACTTCGTATTGTCCTCTGAAAGCTATTGTGTTAAGCTAATCAGAATATATTATTTCCTTTCTCCTTTAGCCAGCATGGACACTTCTACAGCAGAGTTCATTATGTCACTCCAAAACTACTCTCTGGGGAATCTTCAAGGTGAAGGATTTTTCTTGTCTCCAAGAAATGCTGCATAAGTTTTAAAAATTATTATTATTATTATTATCATCATTATGTTGGAGATCGAACCCCGGGCATTCACTAGCTACATTCCCAACCCTTTTTATTTTTTGAGACATGGTCTTGCTAACTTGCTGAAGCTGGTCTTAAACTTGCCATCCTCCTGCCTTAGCCTCCCACGTCACTGGGATTACAGTTGTGTGTCACCACACTTGTCAAGAAAAACATTTTTTAAAAGTAGGTACCTCTTACTATTTTATGTTTTTGAAAGTTTGTTATCTATGGGCTATATAGAGATTTTCTATATCCAGAATACTTCATTTTTTCAGCATTTCAGTGAATTTATTGTATAAATACATACAAGATTGCTTAAGTATATTATTTCTATATAAGAGAATAAACTCTTCAGGCATATTAGAAGCATTTTTTAAAAACAAGATTATCTTGCTCATGAAAAATTTGTTATTTTAAATTGGCAAATAATAATTATGTATATTTATGGGGTATAATTTGATGTTTTGATCTGTGTTTATTGTACAAAGATTCAATCAAGTTAATTAACGTATCTATCACCTTACCAATTTATCAAATAACCAAAGAATATAACACTCAGAATTAATTGGATACTATATGAACATGTAGTATAACATTTCTGCAAATGTATAGATATTGAAGCCTGCACACAGTTTATGTCTGAATCCTGCCCAGACCTTAGTGGTACTCTATATGGGATGTATCCTTGCTAAAATTTTGTTAACATTAATTTCTTAGAAACAACTTGTCTGCAACCATTTATTTGAATACCTCTAGAGTTACTTTAACATCAATAGGAGCCTCATTCAAAACAGACCAAGAGAAAAGACCCAAGGGATCACAGATTTTAGGTTTGTGGTTTCAAATGATCACAGTTGATGGGCACCTATTGCTTATTCTTTGTTGACATTTGCATATCCAGTACAGTACAGTTAGCTGCTCTGATCTTTTTTATGCTTCACTTAACAGGTGGCTGTGTGCACCCATTTGTATCTCCTAACAGCTAACTCTGCTTCAGTTGCCTTCTCTTGGGGGCTGAGATATCAAATTTCACTTTCCCCCATAAGAGGGCCAGCTCTTAGGTGGGAGATCTGATCAGGAGGAGTTAAAACTCTTTTATTCCCCCTTAGGCTTAGAGAATCTGTCAGAATTCTTAGGTGTAGACAACACAAACTCACTGATTTAAACCTATTCATTGAAATGACAATGGGTTGCTTATTCATTACTGGGAGAGTTGGAGAGCCAGGCTCAGAGTTCCAGCAGCAGGGCACCAGACCCCAAATCATGCTACAGAGCACTCTAGTGTAGACACAATTCCCCTTGTCCAGGCTGGATTCTATGCTCTGCTACCAACACAGCAGATTGTCTGCTCCAGGTGCTGGATGGCAGCTGCTGTTGCCATGGAAACGCCATCTTACTGCAGGTGGCGCTGCCTCTGGAGTGAGCCTCAGAGTTGCTGCTTCTTTGTGTCGCTAGCACCTGATTTGAACCTCAGGGTGGGTGCTTCCAGTTGGTAGATCCTAGATTCTGTGCCATAGCTGCCTGCAAAGGATGCTGGGAAAGGTAGCATCTGGCAGTTCAGCGTCTGCCGGAAAGTGGGCTCTGCCTTCCCTGAGGAGTCATAAGAAAGGCAGCTCTCCACACAAGCAGGAGTTTTAAAGGGCAGGCAGCCAGAAGGAATGACAGCTGTCTGTGATGTGGATCAAACTATCCACCTTTTGCCCCCACAAAGAGGATTGAAAACCTTGCTGCACACAGATTATTAAAAACCAAATCAAACCAAAATAAAAACTGACAATCCTAGCGGTGATCTCAAAGGGGAGCTTTATTCCTTTATTGCTTACTTTAGAAAATTCTCAGTGCTGTGAGAATTATTTCAAGTATAATTATTTAAAGTTTCCTAGATTAGAAGTTTCAGCTTCATTCAACTATTTTCTTTAAGGGAATTTTATTCTGCACACCCCTCTTGAAACCTACACTATTGATATGATGTGGTATTGGGTTAGAATGGATTATTTTCTATTCATGAAGGTTTCTAATTTGTACATAGAGGCTATATTTCTAGAATATATTTCATTTCAGAGAGCAATCACTGTGTTCCTGAAATGAGATCTTGTTGATCAGGAGAGCTTCAGTCTTCAAAACTTCTGTGGGAATAATTAGGCTGACCCAATTAGCCAGCTTCTCTTGGGATTTTATAAAATGTCAGAAATAGAGCCAATTGGGCCACTTCTATTTAGATTTTTTTAAAGGTGTTATCTCTCACTAGACATGCACTGTGTCACTTTGTCACCTAAGGTTTCCAGTTCACTCTTGCACAGAGGTGCAGTCTCAGAGAACAGGGCATGTGGCATATTGGTGAGAAGAGGAGGAGACGGATGTGGCAGGAAGAGTGAGAGACCAGGGAACAGAGCTTCCTAAAACTGTGTCATCTAGGCCATTTTTGCCCTCCACTGAGCAAAAAACCTTTCAGCCTAGACCTATGATGTTGGGCAGGTTATTTCACACAGTTGTTCAAATTAGTTCAACATTGTAACAAATGAACAGGGGGATCATTCTACTAAGATTTCCACCTTCTCATCGATGACAGCACTTCTTGATCAAGAACGCCTAGGGAATAGAAAAACGAGGTAAATAAAACGAATCACTTTGTATACTTAACTCACAGCATTCATTAATTAGTGCATCAATTAATTCTATAATCATTTACTAAAAGCCTAGTATTCCTAGGGTCTATGCTGAGTGCTTTGCATTTATTATCTCATTAAAAAAATCCCTCCATTCTTGGTGGCTGAATGTGATGTGGAGTTTCACTGGTCATGTATTCATATGTGAGAATGAGAATGGGATCAAAATTGTAATGGATTACACCCCATGTTTGTGTAATATGTCAAAACACACCTTGCTGTTTTGTCGATCTAAAAACAACAAATTAAACAAATTAATTAATGTTAACAAAAATTTTAATAATCTAATCTTGTGAAGTCAATATAACCACACTTCCCTGAAGTAATGAAGCTTGGAGAATTTAAGAACCAGAACTAGACTTCGACTCCACATCACTTGAATTCCAAACTTTGTGATTCTAGACACGGTCTCTGTGACTTTTGGTGCTCTGGACCTTGAAGAGGCTGGCAGGCCGTTTCTGTCCTCAGACGTTGTTGAACATTAGAAAAGAAAAGAGACACTACCATGGAGTGTGACCTGTTCTACAATACTGGTATATACTGGAGTCCAGAGGAGTGGCCTCCCATCTGAGGTCTAGGTGGGAAGGAGGTTCAGGAAGGCTTCTTTTAGGAAGTAACACTTGAT